CCAACATATCATCAACATACATCAGTAGGATGATATAACTGGACTGATATCTTTTGAAGTAGCAACAGTGGTCGGCGTTGCACTTCTGGAAACCTTCCTTATGCATAAAGCCGTCAAACTTTCTGTACCACTGTCTTGGGGCTTGTTTCAGGCCATACAAGCTCTTCTTGAGTCTGCACACCAGGTTCTTCTTCTTTTCTTCTGAGAAACCTTCTGGCTGGTGCATGTATATCTCCTCTTCTAGATCTCCGTGAAGAAACGCCGTCTTCACGTCTAACTGCTCGAGATGAAGATCTTCAATTGCTACAATACTCATCACGGTCCTGATAGTATTTAGCTTCACCACGGGAGCGAAAATATCGGTGTAGTCAATTCCTTCCTTCTGCTGGAAGCCTTTGACAACTAGCCGGGCCTTATATCTTCTGGAACCATTTTGCTCCTCTTTCACCCGGTACACCCATTTGTTGTGGAGTGCCTTCTTACCCGTGGGCAACTCAGCTAGTTCCCACGTCTGGTTTGATATGAGAGACTTCATCTCATCTTTCATGGCAAGCTCCCACTTGCTCGCATCTCCACACTGACAAGCTTCATCATAGCTTTCAGGCTCCCCACCATCTGTCAACAACAGATAGTTCATGTATCTCCTATTGGGTACAGGAGGACGAGAAGATCTTCTTAATATCGGAGCTGGTGTGACGGGCTCCTGCACACCATCTTGTCCAACATGCTCTTCTGGCTGAGGACCTTCTGCATTGGGTTCTTCCGAGAGGTTACTCGGGACATCATCTGCATCTACAAATATTGACTGGCTCTCTGAGTCATCTGTCTTGTGCATGTCCTTGTACATCACCTTCTCGTTGAATATCACATCTCTGCTCCTGATCACTTTCTTGTTTTCGTTGTCCCAAATGCGGTAGCCGAACTCATCTTCACCATAGCCGATGAAAGTGCATTTCTTTGACTTGGGATCAAGCTTATTCCTGCCTTGATCACTAATATGCACGTAAGCTACACAACCGAAAACTTTAAGATGTGAGAGTTTTACCTCCTTTCCGCACCATACCTCCTCTGGTATTCTGTGCTCCAATGGAACCGATGGACCTCGGTTGATCAAGTAAGCTGCTGTGTTGACCGCTTCTGCCCAGAACTGCTTCGGTAGGCCTGACTGTACTCGAATGCTTCTGGCTCTCTCCGTCAACGTTCGGTTCATTCGCTCAGCTACTCCATTTTGCTGAGGCGTGCCGGGCACGGTTCTCTCCATTCTGATCCCGTGCTCATAGCAGAACTTCTTGAATCCGGTGTCTTCATACTCACCGCCATTGTCGGTCCTGAGCTTCTTTATTCTCAGACCGGTCTCATTCTCGACCATGGCTTTCCATCTTCTGAAAGCCTCAAACACTTCTGACTTATGTTTCAGAAAGTAGACCCATACTTTCCGAGTGTGATCATCGATAAAAGTCACGAAGTAGTGTTTCCCACCAATCGACGCAGTGGTGGTTGGTCCCCAAACATCTGAGTGAACGAGCTCTAGCTTCTGCCTCCTGGGGGTTCTGCCACTTGTCTGAAAGCTGACTCTCTTCTGCTTTCCGAGTATGCATTCTTCACACATATCCATCTCCACTGACTTTAGTCCTGGGAGTTTTCCCTTCGTGTGCATGATTTTCATCCCCTTTTCACTCATATGACCGAGTCTCTGGTGCCATAACTTTGAAGTCTCATTGCCTGCTGCAACTGAGATCAAACAACGTGCACCTGCTATCATATACAGGGTATTAGTCTTCTTGCCTCGGGCAATCGTCATTGCGCTCTTTGAGATCTTCCAATCATCTCCATGGAAGGTCGTAGTGTATCCTTCGCCAGCCAACTGGCCTACGGATATTAAGTTCTTTCTCAGGTCGGGAATATGCCTGACATCCTTCAGCTCCCATACTGAACACATCTGAGTGAACGAGCTCTAGCTTCTGCTTCCTGGGGGTTCTGCCACTTGTCTGAAAGCTGACTCTCTTCTGCTTTCCAAGTATACATTCTTCACATATATCCATCTCCACTGACTGCAGTCCTGGGAGTTTTCCCTTTGTGTGCATGATCTTCATTCCCTTTTCACTCATATGACCGAGTCTCTGGTGCCACAGCTTTGAAGTCTCATTGCCTGCTGCAACTGAGATCAAACAACGTGCACCTGCTGTCATATACAGGGTACCAGTCTTCTTGCCTCCGGTAATTGTCATTGCGCCCTTTGAGATCTTCCAATCATCTCCATGGAAGGTTGTGGTGTATCCTTCGCCAGCCAACTGGCCTACGGATATTAAGTTCTTTCTCAGGTCGGGAATATGCCTGACATCCTTCAGCTCCCATACTGACCCGTTCAACTTAATTTTTACCACGCCTTTGCCCACAATAGCACATGGTTGATCATCACCAAGATATACTTATCCAAGATTTCCGAGAACATACTTCTCGAAGAATTCTTTCTGAGAGGTAGCATGGAACAACGCTCCTGAATCTAACACCCAAGATTCCTCCTTGCTCTCCAAAGAGCATATCAATGCGTCGTCTCCTCCTGAAGTGGAAGTGACATTCACCTCTGCCTTCGCCTCCTTCTCCTTCTGTGCACTCTTGCACTGATTCTTGTAATGCCCGGTCTTTCCACAATTCCAACACTCGATAGCCTTCGAGCTGTTGCTTGGATTCCTTGATTTGGACCTCCTGTCCTTTGATCTACCTCTGAAGTTTGATTTTCCTCGTCCGTTTCCTCTGGTTGAATTTCTACCTCTTGACTCTGTATGCAATACTGAAGAGGTTGTAGCTTCACCAGTCTCTCGCCGTCGGATCTCCTCACTGAGAACCAAATCACGAACGTCGTCGAACTTCAACTTACTGTTTCCCGACGAGCTACTCACAGCTGTGACTGTAGCATTCCAACTCTCTGGTAGGGAAGACAAAAGTATCAACGCCCGAACTTCCTCATCAAACTCAATCTCAACTGAACTCAATTGGGTTGTAACCGTATTAAGTTCATTGAGGTGTTGTGCTACTGACGCGCCTTCCGCCATTTTCAGATTGAATAACCACCGCATCAAATGAACTTTGTTCGCGGCTGATGGCTTCTCATACATATTTGAGAGAGCTGGCATAAGACCTGCCGTGGTCTTCTCCTTCGCTATGTTGAACGCAACATTGCGAGTCAACGTCAATCTGATAACTCCGAGGGCTTGTCTATCTAGAAGGTTCCACTCTTCTTCCTTCATAGAATCTGGCTTCTTCCCCGATAGTGGTTGATACAGATTTTTCTGATACAGATAATCCTCTATCTGCATTTTCCAGAATCCGAAATCTGTTCCATCAAATTTCTCAAGTCTCATTTTTGCCTCATCTGTGGCCATGGCTCCCACTTGAATCTGACTTGTTCTAGATCGTTTCACGCTCTGATACCAGTTGTTGGGAATTTAACGCCTAAACCCCTAATGCAACAGAAACGCAGAATAGAGAACAGTACACAAGATTTAACGAGGTTCGGCAACTGCCTACGTCCTCGGGAGCCACACAGATAATTTCTTATTAATTAAACAAGAAATTACAATTTAGGAGCAGATCTCAAAACTGAGATTTCTCAAATAAACACTGTAGCTACAGTGTTAATAATTAAAGGGTATGAACCCTTTCAATTCTCACTTGAGAAGCGAGGGTCGGTGTCCCAAACGCGAGTGTCGGTGTCCCAAACGCGAGGGTCGGATCCAAAAACGCCAAGGTCGTGTTGCCCACACGCCGAGGTCGGGAATCGCCAAAATTCGAGCTCGCCTGCTCGAGCTTCACCTGGAGCTTTCGCCGTCGACTTCGCCTGCCCACGCTCGCCTGAGTGGTTCTCAAGCTCGTCGGAGCTTCGCCGGAGCTCCTCGTCGGAATTGAGGTTTGATCTACACCCCATTCTAACATTTATAACGTGCTAACTCTTAATATTTGTAAATTTTATAGTTAAACCTATCTAAATCATATTTTACTATAGAACTATGGTAGGTTTAGAATAGAATTACAGTGGTTTTTAACTATAAACTCTTAATATATTAAGTGCTGCTAAAAACCAAGTGAGGGTATATAAGCGCAAAGTAGAGTAAACTATAGGGTATTTAAGTGCCATCAAGCCATTATTTTTATACTATATATGACTTCGATATTACGAGTACTGTGACGGACACTTGTATCATCGACGAAGGGTTAAATGTCCACAAACAGCCCAATAGAAGGCCCGGGCCCAAAACTATATACCTGCTTCTTTCTCTTCGCCTTTCTCTTTACCCTCTGGAAAAATCTTGGGCTAAACCCGCCGACGAGCTCGCGCAACCTCAAACTCAGCCTCCTCTCTAAAATTATCAAATTAATCAACCAGTAAATTCTAAAATCAAAAGATAATGGGGGGCAAAAAAAAAAAAATCTGACCTTTTTCTTCTCTTCTCAATCTCCTGCAATCTGATGCATTAGTTAATGTAATATAAGTATACTCCTATTAACCTACTCCCCTCTCCAAAAAAAAATCCGATCTTTTTTTTTTCATAAAAATCCTGTCTTTTTTATTTTTATTTTTATTTTTTTTAAAAAAAAACCGATCTTGATCTTCGATCGATGAGTCAAACCCTAATCGATCTCCACGGCCTCCTCCTCCTCCAATGCCATCATCAGACTCTCCCTGCTCTCACCTCCTCCCCAAAAGAACTAAACATAGACAGGAAGTAGAAATAACCAAATCCATAAAACAGGTTACTTTAAGTATGACAGCTTAGAAGAAACAAGAAGAACAATAAGGCAAAGCAAAATCCCCAGCAAAAAAAAATCCGGATAAGAAGGCGAAGATGGATCTGAAGGAACCGAAGGCGGTGAAGAAACCGTCGGAGAAGAACCCGACGACGGATCTGAAGGAGCCGAGTGCGGAGAAGAAGACGAAGAAGGCCCCGGTGGAGGCGCAGGCAGGCGAGGGCTTGATTATCGACCGTGGACGCCTTATCTGAAGGAGAAAGAAGCGATCTTTTACGGATCCAGGCTGCTGATGGAGTCCGCCTTGTCGAATTCGTCGGGGATCGAGGACCTGATGCCGAGGGGATTGAGGGGGATGAACAATTTGGGGAACACTTGCTTCATGAGCTCGGTGCTGCAGGTGTTGCTGCATACGCCGCCGTTGAGGAATTACTTCCTGAGTGATCTGCACAATAGGTTTGTTTGTCAGCAGAAATGGAGGAAGAAGAAGGTCGGAAATGGCGGGAACGGGAATGCGAGGGTTTGTTTGGCTTGCGATCTTGATGCGATTTACTCGGCGGTGTTTTCTGGTGATCGGGCGCCTTATAGCCCTGCCAAGTTTCTCTATAGGTAAAAAAAAATTCGGCATTTGGATTGGTTAGAGGCTTGGAGATAGTTTTTATTTTTATTTTTTAAAAAAATAATTTTGATGGAATTTTTGGTTATGGGTGATGGAGACACTAGTATTAGTTAGGGAGTGAAGAAGAGTGTGGGGGTGGATTGATGGATAGAAGAAAGTTAGATTCTTTTTGTTAGCTTATTTGTGTTTCTCATATCTAAAATATTGTATGGTGAAAAGTTCAATTCATTTTAGTACAGACATGACTAGTAAGAGAGAACTAATTAGGTAATCAGTTATCCGATCGGTATATATCAAGGGGCATAAAATGCTAAACTCGTGTGAAGTTAAATAGTTTATGTGGCCCATAAAAAGTTCTTCGTCTTCCTAATGTTTGTGTTTGATTAGCTATTTTGAGTTCATTGTATGTTAAGTAATTGCCATGCATCTTAATCTAGCTATTGTCATGCATCTTAATCTTCTTATCAGATAAACTAACTCAGTTTAGGTTCATTACAGTATGTATTGTACTTTCTTCTTTTTTTCTTTTCTTTTTATTTATTTATTTATTTTTGGTCAGCATAGTAATATATATATAAATATGAGTAATTCAAAAATACCCTTTCAAATCTTTTTATTTGCATAACTTCCTGCAAATTATCAATTTTGGAAAAAATTACCCTAAACTCGATCAATCATCTACTTTGAAGGGCTAATTTGTAACTGCAATGTAAAAGTTATCAAATAAATAGTCAAAATTTACTCAAAAAGTTAATGATTTGTTGATTTTAGGGGTAATTTTTTTCCAAAGTTGATGATTTAGGGGGTAGTTTTGTAAATACCCATAATTTAAGGGGTATATATGCAAACAACCGTATATGTTATCAGCGTACCATACTATTGAAAGTCGTCGATTGTTTATGGTGATATGGATTTCTATAGCAAAATGATTGATGTACCTAACTTGGGTCAGATGAGACGGCAATATAGGTTATGTATATATATGATAAACATATTTCTCTTCCTTCTAAGGTTTCTTGTCAAGAGAACCACACAAGCGATATAAACTTGTTTTTTCCTCTTTGTTGTAAGAAGAACCAGCTGAGTTTTAAAGCAAGCATTTTACTCTATCTCTTGTTTTAGGTTTGTGCTATATAATTCTTTAATCTTTATTCACTGTATTTCTAATATTTAATTAGGTCAGGTAGTTGCAGTTCGTCGTAATGGGCCCAGCTATTAGCTATAACTTTCCTGTTAAGCTGCAGGCCTGCAGGCATGTTTTCATTGCCTATTTTCATTTTTGTGCTTAGTGAATGCCACTCTTTGCTTTTATGTGGTACCTCTACTTGCCAATTTGCCTTAGCTAAATACTTCAGCAAAAAAATTGGACATGTAAAATGAGTTACAAAGATGGAAATCCTGGTGTGTCCTAACGTGCAGCCCCTCTTTTCTAATAATGAGCATTATGGCTTCTCAGTTGGTGGCAACATGCATCGAACCTTGCAAGTTATGAACAACAGGATGCACATGAATTTTTCATCTCTATGCTTGATGCGATCCATGAGAAGGTGGAGGGAGACCAAATTCGACCTCCAACGCAGAGTAATATGTTGATTGCTTTTAAACTTCACCTTTTTTATTTTTACACATTATTTCCACTTCACAGATTCATCTGAATAAATATCTTGCTTCACTTGCTACAATATTCTAGAGTTTATATTCCAATATATATCTGATTAAAACTTGCTTTTTATGATAGATTCTTTAATACTGCTGCTAGTTTCCCCCAAAAGAAAAGACTGCTTCTAGCTAATCATCTGCTTTATCTGATGTGTCTATGCCTAATATCTCCAGTTCATGTTATCGTCTCCAGCTTGTGCAACTTGATTATGATGGAACTGCATAGTAAGAGTTTCAGATGTGTGATAAAGATAAATGCTAGAAAAAAGATGTAAATCCTCTAATAGTGATTAGTACATTTTACCTGATGAAGTTGATAATTGTAAGGTAGGTGAATTGTGATCATCTCTCTTTTCAGTAATATTGAATAATACCAACATCTTGTTAGCTTTTGCTTGAGCATGTGTTTTTTTAATGAACTGACTCTTTGGTTAAGGAGGATAAAATCTTTGCATGAACCTTTGGCTGTACCATGAAGCTTTCGTAATCTCATTTTCTAATTATTTTTATTATTCTTGTTGTTTCCCCCCTATACATATTTGATAATTCCCTCGTGTTCCCAGTGCATAGTATAAGCATTACATTACATACATTTTGGTATTAGTTCAAATTGGAGCTTCTCTTTTTCTTTTTAAAGAATTTCAGGCCAGAGTTTCTAATAAGATTCTTTTACAGGCAATGGAGAATGTTGCATTGCACACAGAGTATTCTCTGGCATCTTGAGATCAGATGTGATGTGTACTGCATGTGGTTTCGCATCTACAACATATGATCCATGTGTCGACATCTCTTTGGACTTGGACTCAATCCAGAATCCACCAAAGGTGGCGGCTCGCTCAAAATTTCATGCGCGAAATGGAAATTTAGACTCAAACACATCCAGCCAAACTTGCGAGATGTCTACTCTCATGGGATGCTTAGAACGGTTCACAAGACCTGAAAGGTTAGGCTCTGACCAGAAATTCTTCTGCCAAAATTGTCAAACGAGACAAGACTCCCTAAAACAGATGTCCATCAGAAAACTCCCTTTAGTTACTTGCTTCCACATCAAAAGATTCGAGCATTCCCCTGTCAAAAGGATGTCACGAAAGATTGACCGCTACTTGCAATTCCCATTATCCCTCAATATGGCACCTTATCTTTCGTCTTCTATACTTAGAACTAGGTATGGGAATCGAATATATTCCTGTGATGCAGATGATTCAGATGTGGCATCTGAGTTAGCTTCAGAGTTTGAATTGTTTGCAATGATCTCCCACAGCGGTAAGTTAGAAGCTGGGCACTATATAACGTACTTGAGGCTCAATAACCAATGGTTTAAGTGTGACGATGCTTGGATCGTTCATGTCACTGAGAACACAGTGAGGGCTTCTCAAGCTTATATGTTGTTCTATGTACAGAAAACGCTTTACTATAAAGCAAGTGAAAATGTGGTTTCCCCGCGATCAGATTAGTGGGATAATGGTCGAAAATGCTTCAATTGAACGAAGAGATTTCCAATGTTTTCGATCTCCGTATCATGGGCAATTTTCAAATTTATGGATGAATGCTCAATGTTGTGTGTCGGTGATTACCAAAAAACAAAGAAAGAGAGAGAACAAAGAGAATATAGAAGGATAAAGGGAGCCTAAATTTTTTGTGGTGTACCTTTTGGCAATATTGAAGGTATAATAGCCTAATTTTATGAGGTTGGTTTTGTTGGTTAATAGCCTGTATTTGTTGGTTTTATTTGGTTTTTTGACTTTGTTATTATTGATCGTTTTAATGATCACAAGAAGATCAAACGAATGCGGCTCGTGTAGAAGTATATTCCAACTTAGTTACTGCTTCGGAAATTTTGGCTATTTTGTATAATGTTATTTCTAATTGATCTGCTTCTTGAATGCCTTCTCATTTGAGTGTATTTTACTTGTGTTTTCTGGAATGATCTTTGTGGGATTTAGTTATTCGCATGTAAAAGATAAGAAATTTGTTCTTATATACTCTATATTGTAATTCTGACTGAATCTATATACATCTTATAGCAAGATATAACAAAGTAGGAGCATGTATTTCCTTCTGAATGAAATATCAGATTGGCTTGACTCTTGCCAGTGCTGTTGGCCTACTCCAATGAAAATAATAATAAGTATATGAAGCATTTCCAAAATTACTTGAACCAGTTACAAAATAGTCAGCATGCCCTGCAGCTGAGCAATAAACGCCACATTAGCTCAGAAATTAATAACTCGGAACTCTATTACTCAAAATGTAACTTGAAAAATATTTTTAAGATATACATCAGAGAACATAGCTTACACAAATTTGGATCAGAAACCATGTTCCTAAAGCCAGTTTCACATAGCTCTAAAGAAAACAAAGAGACAACATGAAGTAAAGATGTAACAAAAGAGGAAGCACAAACAAATGAAATGATTTAACTTACACTCCAACCAGAAGATTCCAAAGGGATTGAAGAATCACATATACACAAGAAATATCGTACAACAACAGATTTGTGACGAAGAAAAACTCACAAAAATTTTGCAACCTGCACACAGAGCACCTCGAGATACAAAACAGAGTTCCATCGTGGATAAAAAGAATAAATGAAACTGGCTAAAGCACCACACCCTGAAGGGGAATTCACAACATTTCAGCGAAAAGGCCCAACAGGCTCCCACTAGCGACCGCAGCACGAGCTTGAAAATGCTACAATCCTAGCAACTTCGAAAATCTATCTGAAACATTTGCTATTACAAAGCCAGCAAATACCTGCAAGAACACACAAGCGGCCACAACTAGGTAAGTTTATAAGCAGTCTGGCTGTTATTAATATCCAATCAGATAAAAACCTGAATTTGGAGATAGTTGCCATTGCGATATTCGCAGATACATCGCCTATACTGTGGTGGCATAGCGCTTATACCGCTTATACTATTTTATTTATACCCCCTAAAACTTAGACGTCGTTATTTTATTGCCCTCAATTCAGGGAGCANCTGCGCCGGGTATCAGTCCCACGGTTAGCGAGGCTGTCAGACTTGTGACAGTGACCCGCATCCGTTCGACCGCCAAACGTAAAGACGCGTAGACTTTCCCAAAAATGGCACTATCGGCACCCCGCCACACTGAGTGACCCACCACTGACCGGACTGGAGGTTCAGCGACCTTTGATAGAACCCAGCGGCTGGAGGGTCGATCAATTGAGTGACTAAAACGGCGTATTGGTACTTCAACTTAGAGTGGGTGAGGCGCACAAATAGCTGGAGGGTCCAACTCTGCGGTGAACCGGGCGGGCTGGAGGCGTCAGGATTGTGGTGATCCCGCTGCTTGAAGGGGGGTCAGACTCTGAGTGACTCGCCGGACCTATAGCGATCAGACTTGAGTGACCTCAACGGCTTGGCGAGTCGGTAACCTTGATGATCTCCGCGCTTGTGTGGGTCAGATTGAAGTGACCCACGGACTTGGAGGGTCAGATGAAGTGGACCCATGATGGTGAGGTGCAGATTGAATGATCCGTAAACATTTCTAATCTTTTCGGTCCGCCACCGTCCTTGAACACTTTGGCTTCCAGTTTGATTCGCGTAGTATTTTATTATTCTTATGTGTTCCACCGGCTACCTACATATCTGAGAAGTGCCCCTCTTAACATTCATTGTTCCCAGTGCACTAGTAATATACCAAGCCATTACACTATATACATTTGGTATTAGTTCAAAATTGAGAGCCTTTCTCTTTTCTTTTCAAGATATTTCGCGCAGAGTTTACGATATAAAGAGTTCTTTTTGACAAGCAATGGAGAAAGTTTGCGACATTGCACACGAGAAGTACTCTTAAACCCTGGCATCTTCAGGAGCATAAAGATGGTGATGTGTCTGAGCTATGATGGGTTTCGCGATAGTACAAAACCATATGATTCCATGTTCGACACCATCTTTGGACTTGCAGACTCAAATCCAGAAATCCACCAACAAAGGTGGCGGCTAGGCGGTCTCAAAAATTCATGAGGACGGCGAGAAATGGAAATTTAGACTCAAACGACATCCAGGCCCCTGCCAAACTTGCGAGATGTCTACTGCTAATGTGATGCTTAGAAGCGGGCAGGCTTAACGACCCTGAACAGGTTAGCGCTCTGAGACCAGAAATTCTTCGAAGTCTGCTAAAATTGTTCTAAGACGAGACAATACTCCAAATAGCCAGCGAAGAGAAATTCTATGATTCGTCATCCTTTCAGAAACTCCTCTGAAGGTTACTTTGCTTCCACATCCAAACAGATCTCGAGCTATTCCCAAACATGTCAAAAAGGGATGTCCACGAAAGAGACGAGCGGGGACTTATACCATCTTCCAATTATCCTCAATATGCAGGGGTAGTTGCATCTTTCGTCTTCTATAACTTCAGACTGACCTATGGGAAATATAGAATATCGAGTGTACCTGTGTTGATGCAGATGATTCAGGAGATGTGGCGAGGCCTCTGAGTTAGCTTCAGACCAGTTGAAAACTTGTTTTCGCAATGATTCCCACAGCGGTAAGTTAGAAGCTTGCGGCACTGATAAATAAACTATACTTGAGGTCTCTAATAAACCTCGCCCGTATTGGGAGGCTTTTCCGGACAAACCCGCGGCCTCACTGAACATACATTCACAGCATGCGTTTAGTGTGACGATGCTTGGATCGTTATGCTCACTCGAGTAAACAGAGCAAGTGAGAGCTTCTGCAACTTATAATGTTGTTCTATTGTAATCAGAAACGCTTACTATTATAAGCAAGCTGAAAACTCGTGGTTTCCCCCGCCGATCAGCAATTATGGGATACATGGTCGAAAAATGCTTCAATTGAGACTTTTAGGGAGGATATTACCAATGTTTTGCGATCTCCGTAATCAATCGGGTCAAATTTTCAAATTTATGGATAATTGACTGCTTAACTGTTGTGTGTCCGTGATTACCAACACAAAACAAAAGAAGAGAGAGAACAAGACGAACTAACCGAAGGATACATGGGATGCCTAAGTTTTTTAGTATGGTGTGACAGACCTTTCGGCCAATATTGAAGTATAATAACCTAATTTTATGAGGTTGGTTATTTGTTCGGCTCATTAAATAGCACTGAGTATATGTTGCGTTTTATTTGGGTTTTTTTGATCGCCTTTAGTTAGTTATCTGATGGCGTTTTAAAAATGAGCGCAAAGAAGATAAAAAGCGAATGGCCGCGGGATTCGTGTAGAAGTTATACAACATCCACGTTAGTTACTGGCTACGCTGGAATTTTTGGCCTGATTTATTATAATGTTGAGTTTCTACATTCATCTGGCTTATGAATCTTCTCATTTGAGCGTGTATTTACTTCGTTGTTTTCTGAATGGAATCTTTTTGTGCGGCATGTCTAGTGCTATGCTCGCCATGTTAAATAATGATAAGAATATCTTCGTATCTTATCACACTACTCATAGCTTTGAATTTCGCACATGATATCCTATATAGATACTTATACTCAACGAAATTTATCAAATCAAAGTCAGGAGCATATATTTCCTCTGAATGAAATATAGACTGTGAGCTTTGACGTCTTCGCCATGCTGATGTAGGCCTATCACTCCAATGAAAGATAATAATAAGTATATTCTAAAGCATTTCCAAAAATTACTTGAACACCATTTACAGAGAGTGAGCCAGCCGCAGGCTGCAGCTGAGGTCGAAATAGAGATCGACCACACTTTAGCTCAGAAATTAATAACTCGGGCAACCTCTAATTAGGGTCTTCTCGCAAAAATGTAACTATCGAAAATATTTTTCAGGATATACATTTATAACAACAGAGGATAACAGGTCAGTCTTAACATTGGTACAATTGGATCGAGAACCTATGTTCCTAAACGCAGTTTTCGACATAGACTCTACTAAGAAAAACAAAGAGAGAACATCAAGTAAAAATGTAAGCTCTCCAAATAGAGCAAGCACAAACAAATTTAAATGACTTTAACCTTACACTCCAACCACCCAGAAGACTTGCCAAAGGACTTAGAAATCAGCATATCACACATAAATATCGTAGCAACAACAGATTTGTGACCGAAGAAAACTCCACGGAGAGGAATTTTGCAAGCCTCCACACAGAGCCACGGGCTCGAGATACAAAATTCTATGGAGTTCAATTTCGTGGATATAAAGCTAAGAAACTGCTAAACAGCACACCCCTCGAGGGGAATTCCACCAACATTTCAGCGAAAAAGAACAGGGCTCCCCACTAGCGACCCGGCACCAACGACGCTTGGAGAGAGGGCTACAAATATCTAAGGAGAGCTTCGAAGAAATCTATCTAAGAAACATTTGCTAAACAGCAAGCCCAGCAATATATTCAGAACACACACCAACCGGGCAGCGAGAACCGCACAACATAGGTAAGTTCTATAAGCAGTTCCTGCTGTTATTATATCCAATCTAAGAAACTCTGAAATTGGAGATAATTCTGTTGCCATTTCGCGATTAATCTCGCCAGATTACATCGCCTATACTGTGGTGGCTATGGCGCTACTCATGCACCGCTTTATATCCACATTTACTTTATACCTTTTCCATTAACCAACTTATTGTCCGTCGTTATTTTTATTGCCCTCCAATTCTAGGGAGAGCAAGTTAGCCCCCCCCTCCCGGCGCCAGAAAGCTAACCTGAAGCAAAAAGGTAATTCATAGTCATGATTCTCACATGACATCTCGACTTAACAAGAAAATAATTTCGTCCAGATGTCAAGGGGTGTAGGTGCCAAATAAATTTGTTTAGAGCGTACAAGTGGCTACACCCTCATAGAAAGGTAAGGGGACGTATTTCTGATTAAACCTTCATTATCTGTGCAAGATTGAGGTGCAACAAGAAAATGAATGAAAGAAATATCGTCAACCATGAAGGATTGATGTGTATGTTTGTGTATTTGTATGCATGCATATGTGAGCTAACAGCTAACATAAAATGGGATATAGAATCAAGAGAAGGGGAAAAAAGAAAAAGAAAAACAAGATATGAAGCATTGGAACCAAATTTAGAGCAAATTTTGTGGACATTGAACAGAAAGGTTTTCTTTTGGGCTGGAAGTTCATAATGGTTGGAACGGTGAATATGACATGGAACATATCACTCGTAAATCGTAATCATATGCATGATCTGTAATTATCTTCTTATCATGAAGAACCTTCAGGGAACAAGTTCAAAAATAGTAAAACAAGTAACTACTGCATGCGAAAATTTAGACATGCACTTCTGGCAAATTGTTAACTGCAATCAACTTGCACATGTGGCAATAATTTATATTTACATGTCCTGGCAAGAAGAAACAGCCATTGTGGAATACTGATTGCCATTTATAGGTTCATGAATCATGACCTGTTTCTTATTCGGTGTGCAAAGAAATATCCTTAAACATGCATACTTATGTGTACAGTGTAAAATAACATGATTAACAGTCCTGTGCTCAACACACCAAAAAAATACCTGAGCTGAACCAAGAATATACACTGCTGAATAATGACGGCCATGGATCAACATATCTGCAACCATTGCGAGTGGTATTGTTAGGGACATGCCCAGAGTGGCCACTAAAGGAGTAGTCCATACCACACATAAAGCCCTGCAAGGACAATTAATATGAATCAGAATAACTAATATCATGCTTAAATATAGTCATAGTTGTAACCTACCAAAAGTAGTCTGAGAGTACACTTCCAATAAGACCATTAGCAAGGACAACTTCATCCATTTTAAGTGAGTGTGGTATTGTGAACTTGGGTTCAATCCCCAATGCAGTCAAGGGCCAAACTGAAAAAGGAAAGGAAATAGTAGCTTAAAAACACAAACATAAAGTAGTTGATTATCAGGTGTTAATCTAGAAAGCTCAGACATTGAACCAGAAAAAAAGATAACAACTTTTACATATCTGCTGCACTGTAAAATTTAAGTCCTTCACAGTTACTAGATTGCACAACAAAGTAAGATGATAACAAACTGCAGAAGAAGTCAGCATAAATAATCTCCAAAAAGAGGGTTCAGAAAGAAGGCGATTTCCATGTTAATGTTAATACCTAGACCAAAGATGCGAGAAGTCTGCACATCAATACAGTTGTCTACATGCAAATGCACATTAGCAAATACCAAAAGTGGCGGAGCTAGGATTTTCGGTAAGGGGGGTCCAACCTAAAAGAGGGGAAAACGTGGACAACGTACCAGAATAAGGACTGATTGAGTATGAGAGATGGATGTAGAGGAATGCAAACAGGCAGATGCACGTGAAGTGACGCTTGAGAGAAATCCAAATGACTCGAGATCTGTTCGCAATTTGTTTGCAACTCAAGAGAGGAACAAAAGAATTTTCAGAAAATTTGGGGGTTTACTCATTTTACTGCTTATGATTTATGAAGTTATTATTAACCAGGTTCCTTTTTGGGTTATTGTATACATACCCCTTAAAGTATGCGTTTGCACTTCCCCTCAATTCTCAATATTTTCAAAATTATCATCAATCATCAAGTACTTTGGAAGAGAGAAAAAAAACTTCCAAAATCAATAAATCATTAACTTCGATAGGTTAATTTGTAGCTTCAATGTGAAAATATCAGCAAAATAGTCAAATATATACTCATCATGTCCAACAAAGTTGAGGAGAATAATCTTTTGCCAAAGTTGATTATTAGAATTTAGTTTGCAATATTTATTTTTGGGATAGATTTTTCAAGTGTGTTGTTTGTGAGAAAATTGGATGAATAATTGCGAGAAATGTATTTGATTTTATTCTCTCTAACTGATTTAGAAAAAGAATGGTTTACAATTCTCTCAAAGTAATCTCTCTCTAACAGGCTTAGAAAAAGAAATTACAAATATTCTCAATCGGAATCCCGGTTTATAAAAGAGAAGAAGATCGACGGAGATTTTCCCCCTTGTTTAAAACTGGGTTCTTCACGGTAGCGATGAGATGCCTCCCTCGATGTTCGTAACAAGTTTGTTTCTCGTTGATGATCCGAACGTCTCACTTCACTGGAACGGTTGATGGAACTTGTGTGGTATGTATGAAAAGAACTCTTAACGAGTTTTATAATTCAGTGCGAGTTTTTTTAAACTCTGTGAAAGAGTTGATTTGAAACCAAAAATTCAGTTAGTAAGCCAAGATCTAAGCTCCAAGATCTCTGTTGCTGATGATGAAAACTCTCTAATGATGAATGTCGATTTCCTTTTAGATTTTTCGATTTCTAAAAAAATTTCGAACTCAGCAGAGTTTTTCGCCATTTATAAGGGTTTTAGGGGTGTAACCGCCCCTAATATCTCTCCTTAATAGGGTGTAACCGCCCTCATTTCGTGGAAAACGGTTTTGAAACCGTTCAAGGGTTTATAAGGGGTGTAATCGCCCCCTAAAATCTCTTCATAATGGGTGTAACTTACCCTATTAAGTGGAGATACGGTTTTGAAACCCTTCAGGTTCTGTTTGAACCAGTCAAACGCTAAAAGTGACGTTCTAGGCCCGCTCTGCGTTTTAGACCTGAAACACAGAGTTGGGCATATGCTTGAGGCTGAAAACGCCGTGTTCGCATAGCGTTATGAATCTGAAACACAGAAATGACCTCTGCCTTTTGGAATTTAAAGAGATAGTTGACTTCTAATCCCTTTCATTAGAGCATTAGCAGAGATCGTTATTTTATAATCTCCACATTAGCTCTTTAAAATGTGGGAGTCATCAGATTGTAACTCCCGCAGTTGTTTATGAAGACTGCTGAATCAGTATTTCCATCGATTGTCGTGAAGATCGTCGAATTATAACTTTCTCGATCTACATGAAAATCTTCTAATTGTAGCCTTTATTTGTTGATTTGATTGTGGAATTGTTATTATGGAAGTCGACAAATTGTAATTGCCATTATTGGTGTTTGATAGGGATCAGCTATCTTTAGTGATTTTTAGACAGCCTACATATGCGTGATGTTTTTTGAGAGAAGTGTGCATGACGTTGGGGTATATTTTGCAAATATGGAAAAGTCAAGTGGGGTCCAAGGCCCCTTTGAGCCTTAGCTAGCTCCGCCCATGAATACTAATGTTTAGTTACCTAACCCACTAGTTGACACATAAACAATAAATAATTTAATGTTTAGTACTCAGTTATACATTAATAAGAACATTATGTAGCAGAACGATATAGACCTATTACTTGATATGTAACTAAACAATAAAAAAGAATGTAAAATTTTCATATTATTTAGGAAAATGTATTAGTATGCATTAGCATGTTGCATATGAAGTATTAAAAATATATAACTCATCAATTTAAGAAAACGCCAATCAACACACTCTGGCCATTGCATTCATCTCCTAACACGTGAAGCATTAATTCAGGTCTCCTTGAGTGATTCATAACCTTGAAAGTGTGTGCGCGTGTATATCTGTGGGTATGTGTCGGGTAGGTACGGTGGTGCCGGTGCAGTGGGTGGAGGGAAGAAGAGTACTTATTTCAATTATTATTTTGGGCTTAAATTTTCTTTTTCACATTTCTATTTTTTGTTTGAAAAGAAAACTGCCTTTTTCTAATTTTTAGTTTTCAATGCGTCCATTCTCTTTCTCATTAACATTGTAATTAGATAAATTATTGGAATAATGACGCAAGGAAGGGGGGGGGGGGGGGTAAAGAAGCGGGGGAAAAAGGCTTTAAAGTCAAATGTTAAGCAGTAGACTGGGGGAGGTTCAGTTTAATTTCACTTGGTTGCAAATCGATTTATGTAATGGGTTGCAAGTTATTTCTTAATCTATAATGGTTATTAAGACGTTAATACAACTCAAACTAGTTCTCTCTAAATCTCTGAAACTATTTTTTCTACCCAACTTTATAAACCAAAAACTATCAGTTTAAGATTTTGTTTGTAGCAAAGAAACAATAACATAGTATATCACCTTATTTGCATCAGGAAAATCTTATATACTTCACAGATATGTAAAAATCAAGAGTGGTGATATAAATATTCTTAGTATAAGGAATATTTCATATTAAAATAATGACATTTCTACAACAATGTAACAAGTTATTAGAAAGAAATTTAGATCAATTTCTTCTCAAATTTTTATCTACGTATTTCATCAATTCCAGTTAGACTGATGAGATAATATTGTAAGCTTCAAAAACAAAAAGGAGAAAGTGATTTAATAGTAATCTGTTCACCAATCAAAGAGATGGTTCCTTAAAGAAACAACAAGAGAAGACTATGCATAATAAGCAAACGAAAACACCAAACTAAAATTAAAGATAATTGACGTAGGAGGCAGAAACTATTTTGAAGTAAGCTCAGACTTACCAAGCCACCAAAGAGCCACTAGAGTGAAAAGTCCAACGTATCCAAACAATTTTTGGACATCAGCCTTTTCACCTTCCTCTCCGGAGAACTTTTTAAGTAGTACTGTGATTAAATATTACTATAATCAGAGGTAGCAAAGAGAATAATGTTAAAATCATGCAACATGCATAAGTGCACATGCAGACAAAAACAAGAGGAGGCAGGGAGAGAAGGAAATATCTAACCGGTAAATAGACCATATGACATAGCAGAAAGAAGACCAAAAAGATCTCCTACAAGAGACCGCTCGTCGTTCCTACACAATGGAAACTTTTAAAGCCCAGGAATGACGAATGAAAGCAAATATTTTATATTACAGTTTGAATGGGGAAAGTGAAGGAAATTATCAGTTGTTAGGAACCATACGCACAAACCTAGCAGTCAGATTCTTTAAAGATATGAAACACGTGGATCACAAAATAAAATCTATTTTATATCTTGGAAGGTTTTCTTCATCCCAAATCAAAGTGACATATGAATGAAAGAACTTACCCAGAAGAGCTCAACTGAGAATCGTCTCTTGCCCAAGTCTTTCCTAAAGTTGTCATTGCGACTCCAGCCATGCTGACAAAAACAGCAACTATTTTCGCTACGCTCAAGGTGTCTTGACCAAGAAGCGCACCAATAAAAAGAGTAAAAAGCCCTGAAGTTGAAGAAAGTACTGTAGTACTCGCCACACTGGTCCGTGCAAGCGCAGCATTTGATAAATACTGTCTCCATCGATATCAGATATAAAGTAAGTACCCAAGTCTGGCTTGATCTAATGTAAGCAAATAAACAACATATTTATTTGTACTATTTGTTGGGTCTGATGGATGTAACTTCTTTAATCTAAAAAGAAAGAGTTGTATACATAACTTGCAGAGCATTAAAGAACCAAATCACTTTCAAGTTTCTACTAATGATGTAAGGATGTTGAGAACAATACATTTGCTAGTTTTACAAATTATGTTGTTAAAAACTTTAGATCATAAGCAATATTAACTAAATCAGAATCCATGGGTAGTCCATCAGTTCTGGCAACCAATATTCTCATAGCTGTTAAGTTTAGAATATACAACCAACATATAGGAGATATATGGCTCAAGCTGCCGCGGGGTAAATTTAAACTAGCAAATAAGGCTTATTTGTTTGGAGGAAAAAAAATTACCTCTGTTACAAACCAAATGGGAGCAAGATACAATGAGTATAAAGCAATTTCCCTTGTAGTAAGCTCTTTGTTCTCCTTCAACGCTATAACGTTAGATTCATCTTGGAGTTCAGCAATAAAAGGATTTTCTTCCTCGGATGAAGAAAGGACTATGGTGCTATCTTTCTTAGTCAAATGTGCTTGCACTCCCATTTCCAAGATTTTTTGCATTGTACCAAAGTTTAGTGGTGAATCAAGTCCTGCAGATATTTTAACAGCACTGGGAAGTATGTTGTTCTTGCGCTTTTTCAGTGAATTACACAACCAATCCTTGAAAAATGCTATTGGAAGATATACAACCATAAGGGAGGCCCCCAGATAAGTAACTGCGAATGGTTGCTTGTAGTCTGTAAATATACCCTGTATAATGAACAGTAGCAAGTTCAAAAGCTAGCTTTGATGAAAGTCAGAGCAGCAAGTTAAATCACTGGAATGCAGAAGTATATAAGTGCATAAGTATGAAACTATGTACACCAATGCATAAATGCATCAAGGAATAACTCCTACTACTCACTAGATACAGCAAAAACTGAGCAAATGAAACCTAATACCTTAACTACTAAAATTATTTATCCCGAAAAGATCTGTTCTCATATTTATTCTCAAATATCAACAATCAATCAGTAATCACCACAACTTTATTTTATATTTTGAAACCAGTGACATTGACGACGAAGGAACATTTACAAAGAATAAATCAGTAGGGACGAGGCCGTTGACAAAAGACTGGAACCCATAGGATATTGACAGAGAAAAGCTATGTTACAAGGAGATCAAATGAAGAAGGATAGGCATCCAAGAACATAGACAGGGAAAAAAATTCAGTGATCAATAACCACAGACATAAAAAGGAGGGCCTAGTCATGAAGAAAATCTCATGGGTCAAAGTTGTAGCCATGGAGAAGAGGAACATGCCACAAAGGGCCATGTTGTAGAAGAAGCCAGGAACGTGGTACAAAGACTTTAGTAAGTATTGTGATATCCAAGTATCAGATATGCACCGGATACAAGTACAAAGACTTTAGTAAGTATCCATCCAAGATAGCTCCAAATTCATGTTGCTAGTTGCAAATCTCCATAAATAGCAAACATTACTAGCCTTTTCCTAGTGTTTCTTTGAAAAGGCATTAGTCCATTCCTCTATAATTTTCATATTAACCACTATTCCATTCTTCATAAACCCTTTTTCTTCTAATAGCCTCAAGGTCCTCTCTGTACCCTACACCAAAAGCCTATGCTAACTTAATTTTCATTAAAGTTGCGGATAGTTTCAAAGGTAGAGGCAACGAAAAGAACTGTTTATTTGCTGCTTTGTCTAGTTTGCTTACAAGACTATAATCCACATCAGAAAGTTTGCTTTTTATTGTCTTCCAAGAAAAATCACCGCACAGACCAAGTCAGAACGTAAAATTACAAATTCATTCATTGTCATTTTCCTTTTCCTGAAATGCCACCAAGTATTCCATTCGCCTAAGACGAAGTGAAGCTTTTACACACACCGTCTGCACGAGGGTAGGCGAATGGTGATCCATTGCTAACGAGGAGCGAATCAACATGAGATGCTCTTCCCAGAGGTGGTATGAATATAGTGTCAAGTGATTCACTTAGTATTAGGTCACGGTTGTTATTACAATCATTTTACCCCTTTTCTTGTAAGTTTCACACGAGGAATCAAACAATTTACCTACTTGCTAATCTCCTTCCTATCTAATGAAACTTTGTGTTCATGATGATTCTTCATAAGTACTTCAAAGCTAAAATTACACAGAAATACCTCAAAAGAGCTAAAACTAAAGAAGAAGAGCGGAAAAAAAATTGAACCTGGGTGACTTCAGCTGAGGAAACCCAGATAACAACAACAGCCCCAATCAGAAACAACCCAGCTCTATATCTCCAGCTCATCTTCTTGTTCAAAAAAAAAACAAAAATTTCGAATCAAAGAAGCCCTAGAATCGAATACTAGAGAAAAACCCAGAGAATCTCCAGGATCTCGCCTTGCTGGAGACAAACCCTAGATTCAACCCCAGCGAACCCCATTAGCCAGCAGAGATCTCGGGAGCTCAAACGTTACAAAAAAAAAAAAAATTCTCTCTCTCTCTCTCTCTTCTTTTTTTTTTTTTTTTTTTAACTCTTTTTTTTTTTTTTTTTTTTGAACTCCTTTTTTTGGATTGGTTGCTGGTATGAGATAGTGAAGTTTTGGTAATAAGGGAAGCAGAGATCTAAATGGAGTCCTTGTTTATGTCTAGTTTAAGGCATGGCGCGGGATTTTACAAGAAACCCCTTCACTTGTACCCTGTTTTCCAAATAACGCCCTCATTTGAAAAATTGAACAGATTATCTTTTTCAAGCTCCAACCGTAAGCAAAATGGACAAATTTTCAAAACCAACCTATTTGGAGTTTTATTCCCCAAAAACGACCCCATTCAAAAATAATTAATAAAACTGAATGGGGTCGTTTTTTGGGAATAAAAATCCAAATAGGTTGGTTTTGAAAATTTGTCCTAAGCAAAATCTATTTCTCCGTACGAATGAGAGAACTTGAGATTCAATATTTATATTACGAGTGGTACTACAGGCACACCCCCAACCACATATTGGGGTACACCCCCTCTCTCAGCTACAGTACACGGGGCCCACTTTAGATTTTTTTAAAAATCTAAAGTGGGCCTCGTTCACTGTAGCTGAGAGAGGGGGTGTGCCCCAAGGTGTGGTTGGGAGTGTGTCTGTAGTGTTTTCCTTATATTACAGTAATGCTACAGTTGTATTTTACTGTAGTGTTATTACTGTAGCAAATTAGGAAGAGAATATAATTTTTTTTAAAATACTGTAGCATTTTAAAAACGATAGCAGGGACGGGAGTTGTCGCAGTCTAAAATTTTTTTTTAAAATACTGTAACATTTAAAATCGTTATTAACTATAACGGGAAAAAGTCTTGTGTGCTTTGTACGGTATTCACGGCTAGTAGAATACAATACAACAATACTTAGACATAAATGTATGAAAGTATGTTGATATATGATATAAGATGCATGCATCGCTATGTCATGGATAATATTTTAATAAGCACATGGACATTATCAGTGTTCCACACAATTAGCCAAACTTTCTCTGTATCATTCCAATTTTATTAGATATATATGACTAGATAAAAGAGTGGATTGGTTTGCAATGAAGTACACTTTCTAGATTAGATTTTTATTTTGACCAAAAACCTTACGGCTTCTCTCTTTTTAAACGCTCCTTTCAGCTCCTAAATTTTGTGAATTTCGTTTGAAGAGCAAACCTTGTTGTAAAACTGCAATTTCATTAATAGCCGTGAACGAAGGGGTATTTGGATTGGGAAACTTTTTAGGTGAGGGGTTTATTGAAATAATTTCTTGTTATTTACCCTTTAAGAAAGCTTGGAGGTTTGACGCCAGGTGAGCTGCAGCTGTCTTTGCTTAGTTCGTCCGTAAGTCACTTTCCCCTTCTATAAGTTTACGTCACTCGTAAGGGGCTGTTTGTTTGCAAGGGAAAACCTGTCAAAATTGTTAGTTTTAGCAGGCTTTCTTGTAAAAACGTCTTTAAAAGATGTGTTTTTGCAAGAAAGCCTGTCAAAACTGACACTTTTAATAGACTTTCAACTCATTTCTCCTTCTAAAAGAGACAACCAAACGCGCTCTAAGGAGTCGTTATTTATGCAAAAAGAATTGAAAGTTTACGAGCTTCAACCCCCTGTGACAAGTCAATGAGTCCGTGTACGAGTTTGAGGCCAAAGTGGGCCGGTAAAATGAACTGGGCCGGGTTAGTGGATCAATTAGATGATTTTCGAATTGATAGTAATTATTGGTTCAAAATGGTTATTCAAGAGAAGTGATTGTTTTCTTGTCGAAATAAGTCACACAAAATGCAAAGTTTAAACGTTTTCTTCTTGAGTCAAAACAATGGGGAAATTTTTTTTTTTTAATAAGCTTTGATCCTAGATGCAAAGTTTACCCGTTTTCTTCCTGACGGGAAACAAGAAAAAAAAAAAGTTTATAAGTTTTGATTCTAGGAAAGTATGCCGAGAGAGACTACATTCCTTGCTCTATTGACCATAAAAATAGCATTATTGCTGATTCTTGCTCTTTATTCGAGTTTGGAGTTGAAGGTGTTGGATTTAAATCTAATATATGGACCAATATATTAAATAGACGTGTATTATGTGCTATCAATTATGGTTAGCCCATTAAAGTGAATTGATAATTATGAATAACTGATTCAGTTATAAATAGGGTTATTGTTCCCCAAATCTCTACCTATAATCTATTTTTGATTTCCCATCTTCAGAAGGATTAGAGTTTCTCTAAAAAAGATATATACATACAATATTTGAAAGATCTACATCTCAAAAACTCAAGAATGACATCATACTCTATGGATTCAAGTATGGTGCCATCTTCTTAATTATCTCAATAGTTTGACATGAACAATCTTGGGATTGATTAGGGTTTTATTTATTAAAGTAAAAGTTTATCTGTTCTTGATCTAACAATTGGTATCAAAGCGGTGTTCATGTTAATCTATTGAGAGTCAATTTTAATTTGTGATGTGATTTTCTTGTTTGTTCTCAAATCTAACAATATTTTCTTTTGCATTGTTTAATTTGAGAATAATATTTGGTAGTTCTTCCTCTTATATATAATCTTCATGATTTCGGATTCAAAAGGGTTATTATATTTTAAATTTTATGTATCCGATTTAGAAAAATTCATGTTTAATTGTTGTTTAATTTTGGATCAAAGTTTAAAAGATTTCAGGTTAGAAATCCTTAATTTAAAAAGATTTTGGAGATTCCTTGCTGGAGGCGGCCAACCTCCACCTTCAACCGAGCCAACTCGCTTTGGAGCTTCTCAATGGAAGCCGCTTGCTTGGCGTTGTGAGATTTGAACCCCTAAAGGAGTTTTTCCTTCGCATCCACTTCCCGACACCAACTAGCCTCGTTGTTGTTCAGCTCAGCCTCCAAGGTGACGACCATGTTCTCTACTTCCTCCCTGGTCGACTTCTCCTTGGCCAAGTCCGCTTGCACCTCCGAAGGGAAGTGTTACATGTGGGAGAACAGGGAGAACAACTCTGCCCCCACCAATGCCCCCCGAATCAGATAACTCTTGAGGGCCAAGTGCAAGCGGTCGCTTAGCATATCCCACAAGAACGCCTCGTCCTTCGGGAGGGCTAACTGACGGAAAGCTCGGACTTGGGAAGTCGTTGACGCCAAGACCAATCTCTCCATGTCGAGACACCTCCGCGACGAACCTGTCACCCTATGGGACCTCCCTGCGGGGCGAGCAGGGTAACGGAGGCACTCCGATCAGCAGGCCCTTGGATTTCTCCTAGAATTAGGGGTCAAGCTCCCCAATCCAGTGGCAGAAAGGTCTTATGTTTAAAACTATGTGGTTGTTATTATGTTTAAAACTATGTGGTTATGTTGCTTTTATGTCAAGTTTGCTACAATATAACTGTGTGTTAAGCCTGCTATTATGAAAAGTTTGCTATTATATGTGTTAAGTTTGCTACTATTTTGTTCGTTAATATAACTGCTATATATTTTAAACAGATAATGGTGATGAACATTATGGAACTTGTGGTCTTTATGGCAAGTCTTTGCCTACCAATATGGATGGGTGAAGTTATGGACTATGTTCATAACCTTGATGATTTGTTTGAAGTGTTAACTCATGTTGACGAAATTATGTTATGTTTAGGTTCTTCTTCTTTTTGTTGATAACAAAGGGGGAGAAATAGTTAAGTTTTATATTTTTTATTATGAATGTTAAAAACTTTGCATATATGCAGGGGGAGTAAGTATTACATGTTTTAAAATTTAATATGATGCATAAATTATTTGTTATCATCAAAAAGGGGGAGAATGTTGAATATCATTTCTCCATGATAATGTTTTGATGATAACAATTTATATTGTGTGTGCACTAACTTTCATATGCAGATTTCAATATCAGAATATGTACAAGTGCAAGTGAATATCAAGGCATTTTGAAGTGAAGAAAATGAAGAACAAAAGATAATGTATTTGAATTTTTCTTTACTTAGAATATTTGTACAAGCCTTGATCACACACACACGCACACACACACAATTTTAGAACACACTAACACAGGCTTAGTGTGTTGGTTAACTATAGAAATCCCCTATGTTAACCATTAGAATAGTAGTTAAAACTTAATTATAAAAACTCATTATTTCTGAATATTTGATCTTAATAGTCGACTAATTAGGATAGTAGTCGACTACTCATGTATATAACTCAAATACAAGTTTCTGTCTGTTTACAGTATAGTCGACTAATTAACATTATAGTCGACTACTGAAGAAAATGTTATTTTTCAAGTTTCTGTCAAATTACAGTATAGTCGACTAATGATCATTATAGTCGACTACTGAGAACATTTTCCGAAAACACAGAGTCTGTCTGAACTCAGTGTAGTCGACTAAGGACTACAGTAGTTGACTACAAGAGACAGTTTTTCAGTTTTCAGAATTTGAATATCTGACAGTTTTTGGCCGTTTTTAAACGTTTTTAAACTTTAAAAACTTGTCTTTTCAAGGGCTATATATAGGTTATTTGTTCAGAAAAATTGCACATGCTTACATACCCATAAGCTTTGATTCTTGAGCAATTTCCTAAGTGAAAAACATTCTGATTTTCTGAAAAAGAAGAGTTTCTGAAATTGCCTATATACTTTCATCAAAAACAAATCAATTAGGTAATTTTACAGAGATTAAAAGAATCCTAAGCCACTGCTGCACATTATTACACATTCAAGGCTTATAGGATCATTGTGTTCTTCTTCAACAAGTTTTCTCTCGGTTGTGAGAGGGTTAATCTCTTGGCTTAGAGATTGGGGTTCAAATTGGCAAGGAGTTTGTCAATTGGTGTTGCAATTTGCAGGGACTTGCAAATTGGTCAGGTTTACGTTTGATTTTGTAAGTTTATTCAATCTCTTATTGGTCTTGGAAAAACATATACTCAAGTGGAGATGGTAAGAAAGATACTTCGTTCACTTACTCCACAATGGGAAAAGAAAGTTACCGCTATTGAAGAAGCCAATGATTTGTCAACTCTTACGGTTGAAAATCTTATTGGTAATCTTATGG